GCAGTAGTAGTGAGCGCCGTTGTCGTAGCCGTAGTAGTAGTAGTAGTAGTAGTAGTAGTAGTAGTAGTAGTAGTAATGGTAGTAGTAGGGGTAGTAGTAGTAGCAGCAGTAATAGGAATAGTAGTAGCAGTAGCACCAGTAGTAGTAGTGGTAGCACCAGTAGTAGCAACAACAGTAACAGTACTAGTCGGAACATAATAAGAATAGCAGTGCTAGTCGTAGTGGTAGTTCTGCTAGAAAGGGGAATCTAGGTGGTGCAGCATATGCGGTGTAAGCTATGGTGCGCCATCTATTACAAGCATCGTGCGGTACAACATATGTTGTGTTATGCCCCCCAAGTGGTGCTATGATGTGCACGCGGGACCTCTTATTCTTTCTCTACTGAACTGGGCCGCGGATTTGGAATGGTTGTTATGTCGTTGCCGTCGCCGCCCCGCCGCCCGTCGTCTGGGCCTGGGTGTTGGCATGACGGCTGTGTCCCTGCCGCCTATTCGCAGCTTCCTCGTCGCCTTGTTGTTGCGTATGGCTGTGCATCGTTATGCATTTCGTCGCATTGCTTTGAATTCGCATTGCGGTTCCGTGATCTGACACCGCAAAGTGCACGCCATATAGATTGCACCGCATTGCTGTTGCCACATCTATATATGTAATCACATACACTTCATCAACGTAGCTTACACCACATATATTGCTCCACGCAGTTTGCACCACCTGTGTTCCACCACATAGTTTACACAACATGTATTGCACCACGTAGATTGCACCACATGTATTGCACGAAGTAGGCCGCCCCACGCATATTGCACCATGTAGTTTGCACCACATCTACTGCACCACACAGCTTGTACCACATATATTGCACCACCGATGCTGCTAGAAACCAACTGTTCGGGGTCCACGTTGGCGAACATGCTACGCATGAATTCGAGTGGTGTGTTTCCTATCTCTCTGTACCCCCTCTGCCCCTGCCCCCCCCTCTCGTCATCCCTTCTCCTCTTCTTCTGTCCTCGTCACCCGCTGCGTTCCCACAAGCCATGCGGAGCCTCACCCCCCCCCCCCGTCGCTTACGCATCCCCAACGAGGAAGACCAGCGCAATTGAAAAGGGTGCGGTGCTCGAAAGAGAAGGATTGGAACGGAAGCGGGAAACCAACAACATTGGAGACAACAGATCGCATGAGAAATGAATAGTCAAGGACAAATGTTGAGCTCCTTCTTGTCCGCCGGTGCGCGCGGAGTCGAGCTGCGACCGCGGCCGCGCCCAGCACCGCGCCCAGCACCGCGCCCGCGGCCACTTGACTGCTGAGCACGCCGACGGCGAACATCCTCGTCGTCGCTGCCCTGCTTCGAGTCGTCGTCGCTCTCGTAGCCCATGTTCTCGAAGTTGGCTGTGTGGCAGTATTTCAACACTGGAATGTACGAGGGAGCTGCATGATCGAACGCTTGGGACACCTACGCTTCTGATATGCACGGTGACCTACGTGAACATCGTTGCAATCATTGAGCTTGACAAAACTGAGCCATCACACGCGAATCGCATCGACAATGCGCGTATCGAGAACGAGCATTGCAATCATCTGAAACGCACACCTTTCGAGCATGCACGGTCGCGCTAACAGTTAAACAGTGCGGTAGCATTGTTCAAATGTTAGTGTTCGCCACGCCATACCAAGGAGGGAGCAACGCCTAGCACATCACATAACGTGTTCTGGGACAGCGCCATACAGGATTCAAATCACCGCGGCACTTGATCGACGAAGGACGATGGTAAGAGGAGGGTGACAAAACGCAGTCCGTGACCCAACTGGACCTGCTTGCCTTTCTTCAAGGCCTTGGACAAAAAGTCGAACTCCATGCCCTCGATCGCCTTCTGGCCAGTCACCTCGCGCCGCTTGCCCCGCGTCAGCTCCTTGGTATGCTCGTCCGAAATGTCGAGGTACAGCTTCCGCTTGGGTTTCAGCGGGTTCTTCTTGGACTGGGAAGGACGCCGCCCGATCGTTGTTAGACACCCCCTCCCCCAGACCACGACGGCTCGACACATCCCCAGCGTTCAACGGAACATTGCAAGTGAACGCATGCAGCATTCGCGCATGAACCATGCACGTGCGTTTACAATTGACGATTCTGCGCGCCGTTTCGACGTGGCTGGGGGAGGGCGGGGAGGACAGGGTGGTGGATTGAGGATGGGGGGGGGGGGGGGGGGGGGGGGGGGGGGGGGGGGGGGGGGGGGGTGGGGGGGGGGGGGGGGGGGGGGGGGGGGGGGGGGGGGGGGGGGGTGGGGGGGGGGGGGGGGGGGGGGTGGGGGGGGGGGGGGGGGGGGGGGGGGGGTGGGGGGCGGATGGGAGCGAGGAGCGGACGGATTGGAAGGAAGGCGCCATCTCAACAGTTCGACCACCCTGGCGTTTCGGCCACTCCCCACCAGCCTCGAACTTATCCCTACCCCTGAGATTGACACACCAAACGACGATGACAATCTTAGGGATGCACCCTCAGAAACTGAGGGAATCCCTCAGGTCGCTATCGTGATGAGGCGATGCCGAACATAGGGATAGGGATATGTTCCAGGCTGGTAAACTCCGATGCGTCGGCATCCCACGACAATCCGACGTGCATTCCCGAATGCGATCTCACCATGAGCGTGCCGTTCTCCATCATCTCCTCGGCCTCCTCCGCGCCGTACTTGTCGATGAAGAACTTCTTCGGCTGCCACTTGGAGGTCTGCTTCACGCCCTCCGTCAGGCCGACGGACGTGACCACGTTCCAGAATGTGTTTTTCATCTCGGGGTCCTGCAGATGTTTGAGCAGCGCACGGTTTCCTCCTCCTCCTCCTCCTCCTCCTCCGTGAGTTGTCACATGGGCACGAAAACATGCCTTGTCCATTTACCACCTTGCAACGAGCATGTACATGCTCATTCGGGACAACGGCACTGATGTCTGCATCATGTAATATGGCCCTCTCTCCTCCCCCAGCACAACGCTACAACAAGTGAACACAAAACGGGTTTCCTTGATCCAACCCATCAAGAGCTTCTGCTTCGCCAATGTCTTGGCCCCGTCCTTCCGCTTCTCCGCCTGGCTTGCCAAATCAGCCGCCCCGTTGGTAGCTAGATCACGCATGGCACGCACCTGCCGTGCATAATGACAGCCGCCAGCTTGGACGAGAGGACGCTGCATGCCAAATGGACATGCACGTTGCAACCGCCATCCCTAAACACCTACCCTGGCGTCACGCCGAAACAGCCTTACACTCGCGGGCATAATCAACAGAACCGCTCGGTGCACATGCATTCGTTGGGAGGGGCGTCGAAACGTGTGAGGGGTGTGCCGAAATTTACCCGAGTGCGCATGCAGACGGTGTCATTGGGGCATTCGGTGGAGCTCCATGACGGCCCACGAAACGTGTGAGGGGTGCACCGAAATGGACCCGATCACGTCTGTTGGCCCTTCGAATGGGGCCTTCGGTGGGGTTCCCTATGGGGCCACGAAGGGTGTGAGAGGCACGCCGAAATGGGCCGAGAACGCATGCGGGCCTTGCCACTGGTCTCTTCGTTGGAGCCCCCTAAGGGGCGACGAACC